CATCAACCCAAACGCCCCAAAATTTAAAGAAAAAGGCCCTATAAATCTAAAAAAATGCTCTAAAAGACAAAAAATTTCCAAAAATGCAAAAAATGCAAAAAAATGCAAATGTCATCAAAATCCGGGCTTTAATAATAAGCTAAGATCATATGGATATTTTATTTTAACTTCCTTGCAGCGTATTTTTCTTATCAAAATATTATTAGAAAATTGCATATTTTTTATTACTTAATTCAAATCTACATATATTTAAAAATTAAAATTACAAGCAAGAGTTTGTAATTTTTTTTCTCACTATAGAATTAAATCACAAAATAATTGTCGGAAACTTGAAATTAATGAATAATCATATAAAAGTTAAATTTTTAAAATTATTCCTTGTCAAACTCAGATTTTTATTTCTGAAATACAAAAGTAAAACGTATATAATAATAAATATATGCAATGCTCTTTGAAGTGTGAGAAATTTTAAGTTTCCAGTTTATTTAAATTAGGTACAACGAATATTTCTTTAAAAATATGAAACTAAATTAAAACTGAAAGGTACTGGTTATTTTAATTTAACACAATTATGTGTTCATTATTTCAGCAGAATTTAATTTTAAGCTTTATTTTATGAACTGAACACTGATGTAATTATAACATAATTACTTAGCTTACAATACGATGTAAACAGTTACTGATTTATTTCATTCTGGCTTAATAAAGGGATCGCCTTTGTAGTTTTAACAAAATAAGATTAAATATTATGAACTCATTTTTGCTTAAATAGATCATTTTACGGGACAATTGAAAAATAGTTTTTAAATTTAAGAAAGATATTTGTTCATTTATAGCAGAATTTAATTTTTACCTTAGTTTCCGAACAGAAAACTGAAACATTAAAAATACAACAACTTATTTTCATTTAAGGAGGAAAACAAAGTTAGTGATTTATTCCATACTAAACTAATCAGGGGAATAGCCATTGTTTTAACAAGACACGATTCACTACTGCAAACTCATTTTTACTTAAAATTATCATTTAATTGATTTCACTGATTAAGATTGGAATTTAGCTTCTTAATTACACAAAAAAAATTGTTCCCTTTTAGAAGAATTGAATTTAAATCCATCGTTATTTCATGAATATTAAAAAAAAACTGATATATTCTTAAAATAAGAACACTTACCATCAATTAAACGATGAAAATTAAGTTATCGATTTATTCCAGACAATATTAATCATCGTAATCGCCATTGTTGTTTTAACAAGATGAGCTTGAATACCACAAAACTCACTTTCACTTAAAGGGATCAAGTGACTTCTCGCCTTGAGGTAAGGAAAAAGTGGAAGAACTACGAGTCTTGTCCTATTTTTACTTCCGTACACAAACATTTTTTGTGTATGTTTTCTAGATTAAAAGCTTGACATTAACTTCTTGATTTCAGACGATAGTCATAATTCTAGGCCGAGAGTTTCCAACACGTGGTGAATTATTTTTGTAAGAAATGAAGAACTTGGAAGAGTGTCGATCTAAACACGTGTTTTATATAAAGCAGTTTTGGCTATAAAACAAAGATTTCTTTGCTTTTTTTTAAAAAAAATAGAACTGTTTTCCTCCTAATTTTCCACTTTTTTAGGTTTTATAACTTGTTACCAAGGATAAAATTTATTTAACTAATATTTTAAGTAAACACTGACATATTTTTGTGCTAAATAAGAGTAACTGAATATTTTTTAGTTTCATGAATTAATATCCTGTTTCCATATGTAGCAATACCTTCGCACATGGCAGTTCAGGACTAAAATATCAAGATAAACATTCCTTGGTGTAACTAACATTCATTTGAATTGAACGAAGAAAAAAAAGTCGCATAAACTTCCAACGGTTAACAACCACAATAAGATTCTAATCAACTTCAGGTGCATCACTGAAATAATTTGCATCGGCGACTGCAGTTCCAGTCTTAATACTAACCCGAGTTTAAAAAAGTTAAGTTCAAGTCTTAATACTAATCCGAGTTTTAGAAAATTAAGGTTTCAACATGATTTTTGCTAATATTTTTTATAAACTAGTTNAGTAACAGCGTAACTGTTAATATTTTCTAAAATCGATTTCACAGCTTTAAAGAGGGATAAATAGCAATTCCGAAACACCTATTAAAAGCCTTTTTTCTTTAATATTTACAGAAGTTTGACCGCTTGAAAGTTGACGCACTAAAAAAAATGGGTAGACTCGCCCCGGTTTACGGTAATTTTTTATGGAGCAGCTACTCCAGTTATTATTTACCCTCTCACAAAACTCATCAACTCAACTCTCAAAAACATTGGTTTAATGTTCAATCACGACATCAGTACCAAGAACAACAATACTGTACAAATTTGCAGTAACTTTAACAAGGTGTTACATTGTAACATATTGTCAATAAAGTTGAACGATAAACTGAAAAATAATTTGGTTTAATTTAGCACCATATTAAATTTGAAGCAAAATTTAACTATAATACAGTTCAATACATATAATATGTTCTTATAATATATAAAGTATATTCTCTTGCTTATAACAGTTACTTTGGTAATTGTTTTTCTGCAGTTGCTCAATGGAGTATGTTATTTTGCTAAAGTTTTTTCTGTAAATTTCAGATCTCTCTTAAATCTCTTATGGCTTTTTTCTGAATTACAATTTTTATAATCTTTCAATTAATGTACAAGCTTACAATTACAAGTTGCTTCAAAACCAGATTAGGCTTCAGAGAAAAGTTCATTTAATGTCATCTTGCAGTCATGCATTAAATTTTCTTACAGTATTGGTAGTGCAATGACCAAAACTCGATGCAGAATGCAGCCTAAAATAATTCCACTGCTATAACTCGTTCAGATTTTAATAAACTTCGTTAAAAAATTGTAGAAATAGTAAAAAAGTATTAAAAAGCAATTTATCACTCAAAAATGCTATGAAAATTTGCTTTATCACCGGCTTTGAGCATTCGTTTCAATTCTAAGTTTATGACTAACAATGTTAAACTTCGCACACATTTAATATGAAAACCCAGCCCAGTAGAGAAGGGAACTCCTGTATCAAGCATATTGACAAAATATTCTTTGTGGAGGATTTTTTGATGGAACTAACCCACATTTGCGTTACACGGTGAGAAAAAATACGAAAACCTCCTACGGTTAGCTCGAGAGGAAGGGGACTCTAGCCCATAATCTGCTTACCACTCGGAATATTTTACGTTAGCACTGTGGTCGGTGCGTGCCAGATGCAGAATTCGAAACTGGATCAACTCATTGATGGATGAGTGCTCTATCTCCTGAAACACCGCTGCTCAATGTTAAGAGACTGGCAATATAGCTGTTGTATTGTAGTGGAAGCGATATCTTATTTAAATGCAAGCTGTATTATTTTGAGCGCATTAATAAGTGGTGTTAGAAATGTAATAGCAAATACTCGACTATGACGTCCCAAACAAGAAACCATTATCTCCAATTAGATGGTAATGGATGTGATTTTTTTTAGCATCGGTTTATGTACGAGCTTGAATTTAGTGAAAACTTATACCGCAGTTTTCATTTAAATGGGTATACATTCGGAACTGAACCCTCGAAACTGAATTTCAATTCAGAAATGTTTAAAACAAATTGAAAATTATAATAAAATGACCTAAAAAGCCCAAAAATTATGCAAAAAAAAAACATCTATCAAGTACGTGTAGTTCTGGCAAAGTTTGAATGAACTCGAGGACGTCTGTCTTTATGCTTTGTCTGGTACTCACGAAATCGATGTCATACCCTTTTTGCACCAGTCTCTCTTGCCAAGCTGCGCACGTATCAAGAAGATGACTCTAAAACATACACCATTCGACTCGAAATGGCATCTTGTCAGAATCTTGTGAAATATAGTGCAGTTCGAATATTTCCTGGCTCCGAGTCAATGTCAGTCAACTTTAGCGGGGTCACTGATGAATTGGAATTTTACTTTAATTCTAACTTTAAATCTTGTGAATATTTTTATTAAAGCTCAAGTTTTTCGAGCAATTTGTATCAGGTCATCATCCAGAGCTTGCATCTTTTTACAAGAAACCAACATTAATATGAGTAAGCTAAATATGTGGTGTATAAAATAAAACAAAAGATTCTAAATAAATTACTGGTGAATTCTTAAATGAAATTAATACTAATAATAATTAATACTGTTGTATATATTTTTAATAACATTATTCATATAATTTTCCATTAATCAACATGGAAGTCATATCTGATTGTAAGCCGCATACAATATATATATATATATTTGAAACAAGAATGAAAATTGAAGAAAAAAGGAAAATTACACATATATTACCACAGCTCCAGGCTGCTAATGTTATAACTAGAAGAGCAGTTGAAAAATATAAATCAAGATAAGTTATTACTTGATATGAATTCGATAAAAACATACTAGTGGAAATAATCCAAAAAGCAGCAATAACAGGAAATTGTGAATAATCCGAAAACAGCATTTAATGCTTTACAAAAGAATAATATCCACAAAATAAAGAGCACAAAAATGGAAGCACTGACTGACAGCGTCATCAGAAGGGCACAATCGTGTCGTCAGTGTGGGAGCAGTTTCTGCGTTCGGTGGTAAAATAATTTTTATCTGACTTGCTTTCTGTTTCTTACTTATCACTCTTTTTGGGACATTGTTAATCCGCGTTTTGGTTTTCGCTTAGGATTGCGCCATATCACCAGTGTACCACCGCCGGTGAGTTTTTTTTGGGACTTACGGTTGTTTGTGGTATTTTTCCGTATTGATGACATGGTAGTACCTCCTGGTGACGCTGACAGGTAGGTCAGCGATTCAATTCAAATTTGTATTTTTGTGCGCACTCTTTTGCAGATATTTTTCTTTCTTGAAGTTTTAGATGCTGCACGGATTATTTACTATTTTCTGTTTTTGCTGCTTTTTGAGTTATTCCTGAAATAATGTTTTCAAAATAATGTCTCAAAAAAGTTACATAAAAGAAAAAATATCTTTAGAGACAGAGAATAGGAACATTTATTCATAACTTAAACATATAAAAAGTAAAAAGTTTACAAGTATACATAATGTACAAGCAAAAAGTATGTCCAGTAAATCAATCAATAAAGTAACTGTACAATGTTTCAATAAAAATGAAACTTGACCAAAAGCCATGGAGAAAATCCTCAACCATAATAAAATGGAAGAAAGAGACATCTTGATAACCATGCATTGATCATATAGAAGCTAATATAGCTTATAAACATTTAATAATAGTGACCTGCACCTTTAATTGGCTAGTTTTTCTAAGTGCTCTTCTTGCAAAGCATTTTTTAACCATGGTGTGCAATCATAATCTTGCAATTGGCCGCCGAAGTCAGTAGGGAGTAGGCACACTGGGAAATAGTCAGTAAGTTCTTCCATATTTTGATGAAAAATAAACTGTAGGAAAATGATTTTTAAGCATTAATATTTAAAAATGATTCTAAAGAAATGAGATAAAATAATATTTAATAAAAGGTTGTTAATGGTTACTATTAGAGAATTTACGTTGCCATGATTAACGCCCTTATAGGTACATAATGCCTTTAGTAATTTATTAAGTAATAAATTCCTCATTAATATATGAAAATGTTTTTAAAGAAATAAGATAGCATAATAGTTATTAAATTTATAAGACGTTGTTCAGAGATAATTTAACCTACCGTAACTAAATCTTATATCATTTCGTCATCATAAACTAATTAGTTAATCATTAATATGTGCCAGAACATTACAATTAATCCTTAGAATTCTGAAGTCTATATATGGTGTTAAATTTCATCATATATTATTGTGCTACTTAAAATTAATTGCACGTTTCCAAGATGAGACTAGAACATAAACATAGTTTCGTTTAACATCGTATTAAGGTGGAAGCAAATTTACTGCTCACTGTTAATGAGTAGCTTGCAGCAATCGGGAGTTTCAAAAATGATAAACGTTTCAAAAAATCAATTAGTAAAAAAAAGACAAGAAATGACATGGTAATGTGCTATTTGCTACATTCTGCTTAAGACACTAGATCTATTTTTAGCAGCGCTATTGAAAATTAGTTAAAAATTTTTTCAATAAATGGCATCACCAGCTTTGAAAGCTAATTAAATGTTTTTCAAATTTTTCACTACTTGCAGTTACAGTATTGCAATAGTTTGAGGACAACATTTACGCATATTTGTGAAAATAGTTTCAGTTCGTATGTCTGGCATGCAGAAAATATAATATGTTATTTCTTATTTTATAGCTTCTTTAGCATCGCCATCTATTGAAGAGTTTTAAAACTAATTTTAATTTGGTGATACAACTTAGTTTCCTAAGTAAAATTCAGTTAGCAGTGTTTTTCTTTCTCCTCCAGCATTCTTTCATATGATTTATATAATATTCTGTCATTTTTGAGATATTTCATGTGGATTATTACCCTTTATATTGTTCTAGAATCATTCTTTTCCTGATATTTATGAACCACCTCTTTAAGTTATAATTTATTACTATTTTTCATTTTCAAACTTTTATTTGTACCTCAAAAGTCAATACCTTCACATTAGGAATTTCACAAACTTAGTTTTTATTGTTTGTAATTTAAAACTTAAATACAATATTTACTGTTCAAAAATGCAGAATTCAGACTATTAGCAAATGCCGATAAAAATGCATTACAAAACTTTAATATAAGTTTAATATAAATTTAATAATATAAAGTTTAATATAAGAACTTTAATGTAAATTTTGATTATATTTATTTGATGTGCTCTCAAAATGGCTAGTTTCAATGCAAACAATTCAGCAAACTTAGATTGAAATTAATTACTTTCATTTCAAACATGTAATGTTTCAACATAATGTGTCAATATAAGCAATTATTTTTTATTTTAAACATTTCGCTTTACAAATTATAGAATTTATAAAGTATTAATTTTACTAGTCTGAAATAAACTTTTAATTTTGAGATTGGAAATTGAAAGAATGTTTCAATTTGTTTCAAAATGCTCAAATTAATAGATTTGCACACAATAAAAAGAATGAATTAAAATGGTGTTTATAAAATCAATTCCATTACACTTAACAATTAAGTGAAATTAAAATTATTGATAGTTTAAAATATTTTAAATTATTCATCTTAAAAATTCATTTAAATAAGTCATATTTCAAAACATATGCATCGATAATAATTTAAGGAAACCTTGATAAATTTAAGTATTCCTCGAAATTACTCGAATAAGGTTCTTTAGATTGGAATGTATCATAATAATAAGTTAAATCCGAATCTTACAAATATTTCTTAATAATAGAAGTCGCCTAGTTCCAAATAAGACAATAGACTGTGGTACATCTATTCAAATAGCCATTGGTGTTTTTAAAATCAATTCCATTACACTTAAATAAAACTATAAAATAATTATAAAAATTATAAAATAATAATACATTATAAAAATTTTGATTATTTGATTTTTTTTAAAAATTTATTTTTTTAGTTACTTCCAAAACCTATTTAAACAAAAATATGATTATACAAAGCAGTTTAAAAAATTGAGTACTCTATCAGAGTACATTTTATATTTTTCTTTTATGATAGACGTTGAACAGCTGACCCTATTCTGAGTTCACGACATTTAATGTTTAACTCCGAAGTCTTGCAATTTTGAACCCAATTCAGATGACAAGGGAACTCATGAATCAAGTATTGGGAGAAATTAGTCTAAATGGAAGAATTTTTTTGATGGAACTATTTGCATTACACGGAGAGGAAAACCACGAATATTTTCCGCGGATATACCGGCTGCAAGAGGATTCTGATCCATGAGCCGTCTACCACTAAATATATTTCACATCAGTAATGTGGTTAATATGGTTGTGGTCAGAATTCGTATCAACCAGGCACCGTTGGATTTGGCGACTTGAATGGGAGGCGAAAACTCTTTCCCCTGATCCACCGTGCCTCAATCAAACTTTATAATATTTTATAACTGGCTTCGAACAGCCGGTCCAATTCTGAGTTTACGACTATCACTGTTCAACTCCGTAGTCTTGTAATTTTTGTATCCAACCCAAAAGACGAAGAACTGTTGGATAAAGAATTAGCTCAAACTATACCCTTCATTGAGGGCTTTTTGGTGGAAGTAACCAAGATTTGCTTACATAGAGGGGAATACTATGAAAACCTTCCACGGTTAGCCCGATGGCAAAATGATCCTAACCCATGATGTACCTAACACTTAAGGACATTTTATATCAGCACTGTGGTCGATGCGAGCTGGGAGCAGAATACATATCAACCAGCCATCGCTGGAACTCGAATCCGGGTCATCTCATTGGTAAGAGTGCGCTCCCTTTCCATGGCTCTTATCAAACTTTAATTTATTTCATATTTCAATAACCGTCGTTGAACATCTGACCCAATGCAATTTAAAACCTAATCCAGAAGATAAGGAAACTTATTGAAACTTATTGATTTCCTGGAACAAGTATTAGGAGAAATTTGCCTGCGTGGAAATTTTTTGATGGATTTAACCCGCGTTTGCGTTACATTTAGAGAAAAACAACGAAAACCTCCCACGGTTAGCCTGTCGGAAAGAGAACTCAAAACCATGCTACGTCTACCGCTGAAGACATTCTACGTAAGTACTGCGGTCGTTGAGAGACCGGTGAGGAATTCATATCTACCAGCCATCGCTGGGATTCGAACCCGCGTTACCTCATTGGGAGACGATCGAAAAAATTTCTCAGGATCTAAAAAATCGAAAAGAAAGTTTTCAAGCACATGTCTGGGAGGCAAGTGCTCTATCCGCAGAGCCACCACGACTCCATCATCAAACTTTATTATCATTTTCGATTACTTCTGAAAACTCGAACAAATTACTTAAACAAAGCAGCCATCTCAGTTAAAAAAAATGGTGTTGCTGTTGCTGTTTAGAAATTATTCTGAAGTTTTTAATTGCTTGTGGAATTAAAGGTTAACTGTTACTTAACAAAATAAAAGTGTTATAAAATTCAAGAATATGATGAGTGTTTGTTTAATATGTGAATAATTTATTAATAAATCCAATCAAGAAAATACTTACTCGTTTCTTTAATTTTTCGGATAGGAAGGGGTGAATTAAAGTCCAGGCTGCCTTGAAAGTAAGAGACATATTGATAATATGGATGCCTTTAAATCTACCTGGGAAACATTCCTGGAAAATATTAATTTAAGTCAGATATTGGAAAGTCAACTACCAAAGTCATTGTTTGTAAAATCAAATTTATGAAATATCATTTATGGTTTAAAAGATTAAAACCTGTTCAAATGCGAAGATAAAAAAAACAAAAGATTAAATTAAATAGCAGATTTGCAAAAAAAGACATTATTATGTTTCATCTGTCATCCAAGTCTTGATGGAATTTATCCCACCTTCTTATTATTGATTCGGTAATTTCGAGAACGTTTTTGTTGCTTTCTGAATAATTTGTAACCCTAAATTTATTGGCTTTTCTCGGTAGTTTTTTTTAAAAAGAAAAGAATTCTAAAAACGTATAATAAAAGTGGTTTACAGGAAGCCTCTTGTATAATAAGATATACGAATTTTTTTTATAGAAAATTCAAACTCATTTGAAACACTTCGCAAGATATTAAAATCAAACCCTTTGAGACAGAATTAATATTAAACATATTTTTCCTACTTTTGCCATTATTTTGTATTAATTTAGGTCTAAATAAGTTGAAAATATTAAATTTAATAATTTATAGTTATGGAAAACAGCATGAAACACTAGTGTCTTTTTCTGCGTTAAAGGCAAAATCATCCAAACATGGCTCACTTCTAATAATCATTCATATTCGCACTTGTTTAAATGTAGTAGAAGCACTTATTCATTATTAAATTTCTTTAATTTACAAAATCAATTATTAATAAATTTTTAAATATGCATGAAAAAATTTACAACTACTTTTTTAGATTTTATATTTTAGTAAAAACATAATTCCGATAATCTAACAGATTTTTTCAGTAATTATTAGACTGTTTTTTAAAATTAAAGATAATAAAATAGAACTTTTGCTTGTAACTAGAGCGCCAGAAATAAATGTAAAAAGTAACACTGGTGTCAACGTAAAAGTATATCTTCGTCATGGGGCTAAAATTCAAAAATTCAAGGAAAATCTAAAAACAAACGTTCCAACTATCAAAACCAGCTATAGTAAACCACTTTTTACTACTTTATTAAACTTAAGTATATACCTAAAAAATTATTAATAAATTAATGCTAATGTTATTAAATAAAAAGTAACACTTAAAGTTACTTTTTTTTAAAACAAAAAAGTTATTTTTTTAATATTCCCTACAAACAACAAAAACACATAACTCTTGGTAGTTCAGTGGGGATACTAATTTTAACAGATTGTTACGAAAATTTTCAATAACCGTGAATTTTATTATTCCACCGTACGACCGTAATATTGACTGCGAAATCACAGTAATTACGGTAAAATCGTAATACACTATCTACCAATAAGTATTTGGACACGTGTGATTGAAAAGAAAAACAAAATTTATTCATAATCAATAGTTGGTAGACCCTCCACGAGAAGCAATTACAGCGTGAACTTTCCGGGGCATACTTTTCACATGTCCTTGTGTGACGGCTAGGTGGTATTTCTTCCACTCGGTTAGGAGAAGACATGTCAGTTCCTTCACGGATTTTGGACTTAAAGTACACCCCTTAATTCGGTGATCCAACTCGTCCCAGAGGTTCTCGATAGGGTTCAAATCTGGGCAGGCCAGTCCATTCGATTAATCCCATCGGCACCATACCAAGCCTTGGTGACCCTCGCAACATGACAGCTGGCANTTTATCATTCAACCGTACGACAGCAATATATTGACTGCGAAATCACAGTAATTACGGCAAAATTGTAATAGTTGGCGCTTCTGGTAGTATTTAAAGTTGGCTACTGAATTTGTTCTCTGGAAAAATTAAAATTAAAATTGAACACATTAAAATGCAGGGGTATGAAAATCACACACCTGAGTTCCGTTGTATAACAAGTAGATATTTTGTGGCGTACAAAATCGTAGATGTTTCCAGGGGCTACTTTTAACGTCGAGTATGACTTTGTAGCCGTTTATTTGAGTCAGCGGATCACAGATGGAATGATATAGGAACAAGGCAATGGCTCTACACAAATCTTGTATAGGAACTTCAGAGGGATTCCAGTTATCTGCAGATACAAATGCAAATTATTATTATCGAGATATTTATTTATTAAAATTAGGAAATTAGAATTTACTTTCAAGAATTTTTTCACTATAGAAGTATGGAAATGTTATAATTAGAATCTCATTATTGGAAATACTCTATCTATCTACTCTGCAAAAGCTATAGTGTGAAGGAACACTTTCCTTCAAATTAACAATGAATTGCCCTCACAAAATTTAAGGGGTTTTTGAGGTTTATTTGGGGTTGGAGGTGTTAAGTTTGAGGTTTATTTGATAGAGGTGTTAAGTGGTTTGAGGTTTATTTGAAGTTGATTTCAGAAACAATTTAATAAAATCAACCTCTGAAGGTGTATGAAGCTGTTTTATTCATATTTGAGATAGTTTTGAGGTTGATGGAAATCTACTTTACAGCAACCAGCTTAGGGAGGTTGTTTTTTAGGTGTTCAGGTTATTAAAATCTCATTAATGGAAATACTCTTTCTATCTACTCTGAAAAAAATTATGGTGTGAAGGAACACTTTCTTTCAAATTAACAATGAATCGCCCTCACAAAAATTTAAGGTGTTTTTGAGGTTATTTGGGGTTATTTTGAGGTGTTATGTTTGAGGTTTATTTGATTGAAGCGTTAAGTGGTTTGAGGTTTATTTAAAGTTGATTTCAAAAACAATTTAGCAAAATCAACCTCCGAAGGTGTATGAAGCTGTTTTATTCATATTTGTGGTAGCTTTGAGGTAGATGGAAATCTACTTTACAGCAACCAGGTTAAGGAGGTTGTTTGGTACACCTTCAAGCAAATAAATATAATAGTGGTGTGAATAATTTCACTCCATCTCAACTAAAAGTATAGCTGAACGATATATGAGGTTGATTTTATAACGGTGTAAATGAGGTTGAAATTGAGGTTTATTATTGAGGTAATTTTGGTGCAAAACATACCCTCATTTTCTATCTCAGGTGCGTTTTTTTACATCTTTCAACTTCAAAACAACCCCCAAAACATATTAATTTTGTCGAGACTTCACACACAGTTTAATGAGTATGGGAAAGCTCTAAGCATTGAAAATACAAAAAGTTTACACCGTTATTACACAACCTTACTCCAAATGATAAATATTTTCGTTTCCGAAAGCAACAGTGATGGCATGTTTTGATATTGTCTGAAATTGTTTACAATTAATAACGAGTTGGTGAGTAGTCGTGGTGGTCTTCAATGCTACTTTTCATCTACAGAAACGATAGTCATTAAAAATATGTGTGCTGATTTTAGCAGTGTAACACGGATATTTATTTTTCAATTTTCAAGTCTCTCTGTAAACTGTAGTAATTAATCTTATTATATATAATATATATGATTTTATAATATATACAATTAGTTAAATCTTCTTTATGAACTGTTTAGTGGAAGAACGTTTTAAGTGCAAGAAGAATAAAATTTTGGTGAAATTAACGTACAGTATTGTAATGACATTCTCAGTAAAAAAAAACATAACTCTGTTAATAAAATCAAAACATAGAGCATTTAAACAGTTAATTTGGTAATTTTTCCGTTCAAATAGTAACAGTTTATCAAAAATTCTNTTTATTTGATTAAGGTGTTGAGTGGTTTGAGGTTTATTTGAAGTTGATTTCAAATTCACACCATAGTTTTGAAGTTGATTTCAAACAATTAGAATCTCCTTATTGGAAATACTCTATCTATCTACACTGCAAAAACTATAGTGTGAAGGAACACTTTCTTTCAAATTAACAATGAATTGCCTTCACAAAAACTTAAGGTGTTTTTGAGGTTTATTTGGGGTTGCTTTGAGGTGTTAAGTTTGAGGTTTATTTGATTGAAGCATTAAGTGGTTTGAGGTTTATTTGAAGTTGATTTCAAAAACAATTTAACAAAATCAACCTCCGAAGGTGTATGAAGCTGTTTTATTCAAATTGGGGTAGTTTTGAGGTTGATGGAAATCTACTTTACAGCAACCAGGTTAGGGAGGTTATTTTTTTTGGAACACCTTCAAGCAAATAAATATACTTGAGGTCTGAATAATTTCACTCGATCTCAACTAAAAGTATAGCTGAGCTATATATGAGGTTGATTTTATAACGGTGTAAATGAGGTTGAAATTGAGGTTTATTAATGAGGTTATTTTGGTGCAAAACATACCCTCATTTTCTACCATAGGTGCGTTTTTTTGCATCTTTCAACTTCCAAACAACCCCCAAAACGTGTTAATTTTGTCGAGACTTCAAACACAGTTTAATGAGTATGTGAAAGCTCTAAGCATTGAAAATACAAAAAGTTTACTCCATTATTATTAAGTTTACACCAAATGTTAAATATTTTCGTTTCCGAAAACAACAGTGATGACATGTTTTGATATCGTCTGTAATTGTTTACAATTAATAACGAGTTGGTTAGTAGTCGTGGTGGTCTTCAATACTACGTTTCATCTACAGAAACGATAGTCATTAAAAATATGTATGCAGGTTTTAGCAGTGTAACACGGATATTTATATTTCAATTTTCAAGTCTCTCTGTAAACTGTAGTAATTAATTTTATTATGTATAATATATACGATTTTATAGTGTATACAATTAGTTAAATCTTCTTTATGAACTGTTTAGTGGAAGAACGTTTTAAGTGCAAGAAGAATAAAATTTTGGTAAAATTAACGTACAGTATTGTAAAGACATTCTCAGTAAGAAAAAGCATAACTCTGCTAATAAAACCAAAACATAGAGCATGCAAACAATTATTTTGGTAATTTTTCCACTGAAATAGTAACGGTTTATCAAAAATTCTGGTTTTCAAAATTATAATTCTTATTACCACACATTTAGTAAACAATACGAAACTAAAAAGTACATTTAACCGTATAAATAGTGTTGATGCCAGGCTCTAATGCATTATATTAAAATTACTTAATTTTACCATCGTAACCAAATTTTATCACGTATTATAAATCCGTACTTTATCGTACTTTTAGCAAAATCATTGTGACAGCACTTTGATAAAAAATTACGAAGCTTTTTGGTGTGCCCATAGAGCCATAAACACGGTAAGTTTTATCATATTCTGGTAAATTTGATCATACATTTTTTCTCTGTGCATTAAAAATCGATATTATCTTTTATTTCGTTTTTATCTGTAATTTTATTTGATACTTTGTAATAGGCAAAGAAAAATTTATACTCATAATTCTGCCTATTTTCTAAATTTCTCGTAGTCTTGTTTTCCACTAAGTTCTGAATTGTAATTAAAAAATATTTTCCAGAAAAAATGTGAGACAATCAGAATTAATTTATATAAACAACAATCCTTTTTGTTCTCTGTAATTATGATTTAATTTTCATCTAAATACTAAGATGTAGAACAATGACATTTTTACCTATAAATATTTAGCATCCCTTGAAATATTCTTGCATTATGTCAGATATTTTTTTAGAATTTTTAGATGATTAAGAATATGAATAGAAATTTGGTCTACATTGTAACAGAATGGTGCTTTTTTTGTTGCATGAAATTAATTAACGTTTTGCAATCAGAGGTTTGTTATTTAATCAGAAAAACAAAATAAAACTTTAAAGGCATTCTAGTATACAATAATGTTACCAAAATATTAGAATGTGCCCAAGATAGCGTTATATTTCTTTTTACTATCATGAGATAACTCCAACTTCAGCAAAAGAAATCAAAAACTTATTTTAATTGAATTTTAAAACTAAAACCTACTATTAAGTAAGGAATAATTAATTTCAAAAATAATAGTAACTTTACTTATTAAACTATGATAGTGAAGACTTATAACCAATAGCTTTCTTAAAAAAAAACTATTAGAATGACATAACCAGACTTATTAGTTTGAAAAATAATCAGATCGCAAGTCATTAAATGATTTGTATTGAATTTCATAAGTAATAGCTGACACACTGTGAAAAACTCCAAATCAAATTGTAGTAAAAAGTACTGGCACCCTGCGTGCAGCACCCGCAAAATCTATTTTACCGAAAAATTTATAATGAAAAATTTATATCAGAAAAACTACCAGAATTACATAACCAGACTTATTAGTTTGGAAAATAATCAGATCCCAAGTCATTAAATAATTTGTATTGAATTTTACAAATAGCTTATACACTGTAAAAAATTCTAAATCAAATCACGGTAAAAAAGTGCTGGCACCCTGTATTTAGTACCCATAAAATCTATTTTACCAAAGAATTTAAAAATTTAATATTTTATTATAATTTTTACTGTAATATTTACATAATTTTTACGGTAAAACTGAATTTTATGATAAAAAGTTCTGTCACTCAGGGAGTGAGTAAGAAATGACAGTTTAAAATGCATAGTTGAAAATTTCAGAATTACACAACCAGCGGCAGTTATTTCACAAATAATCAAAGCTCAAACTGTTAAATGATGTGATATAAAATTTGCTACACATTGCTCATTGAAATGAGCTGCCACACAACTAATTGTAACATAACTCTTTAAATGATATAAATAAAAACAACAATATGTTTACTTAAATAAACTACCAGATTTGTAAAAGCACACCTATTATTTTGAGAAATTCTGGTAACAGAACTTTGATAATGAGTTGACTAATAGCTTACCTAAATGCACTACCAGGATAGCACAGCCATCTGCACATCTCTTGGGAAGGAAATTCATGGTTTTAGATTTAATTAGTTTAATTAGAGCATCGTAGTTCATCCCGGTAAAGAGATTTGGATTTTTAGCTTTGAAATAAACGTATTTCTTCAACAGGCTCATAGATTTTGGAATATTGTATTTTCTGGCCCTCAGAAACTGAAGCAGAAATTCATCGGAAGTTCTACAAGTAAGGCCGTTGTCTCCTAAAATAAGTATAAAACAACATAAGTCATAAAAAAAGCAGTTTTATATGAATTATAATAAGGGGAAAGAGTTGAGTGTAGAAATAGTTGTACATTGATGGGCTTTAATTGCAATTTTTTATGATAATTTCCTCCAGAAATGCAGCTGGCTACCTGAAAAAGTTTCGTAGCATGGAAAATACGGAATTAAAGTTGGCTCTGAACGTTTCTAACTCTGTTGAATGTTGATACCGGGTCAACATTGAATGTAATACCAAAAGATTTGGTGTTAAAATTGAATATTCCTATTAAAAAATGTGAGGAATTAAAGGTTACCCAAACGAAAGGACAACTAACACTTAACAAAATTTGTGAGTTTCCCCTTAAATTAGGCAAAATTGTTAAGTCAGTTAAGTTTTTTGTAATTGATACTGATTTACCATATGCTTTACTTGGGTTGCAGACTTGCAAAGAGTTTTGTTTGTTTATTGATTGTGTCGGGCCAGTTGTTACTCAATTTGGTAAGAGATTGATCACCTCTGCTAATTCTAACA